CCCCTCACCCCTCACCCCTCACCCCTAACCCTTTCCATTCTAACCCCTCATCCCCCCAAAAGTATCATCCCCTGCCCCAATCACAGGAACCACGACCTTCAACATATCCCGCAGATCTCAGCACAGCAGCTTGCAATAAACAAGCTGCTGTTTGGGGTAAGACAGGGTCTGAGGGTCTGTCCTGAGATGGATTCCCCACCCCCACCCCCCCTTTCTCTGTCTTCGGTTACGTACATTCTGAGAGCAGACTGGAGTAGTTCAGGATGAAATGAAACTCTCCCAGGATACAGGATGAGAATCATTACCAACTGTTTTAATAGTCTGCTTACTAACCTGTTTAATAATCTGCTTTTAATGAGGGGCTAAGGGATGTCCCGAATGTTATTGCAAAGAGTTCTGAATTAGACATTAAAATACAACATTCTGAAGAAAGTTTGATAAGGAAAGTGTTACAGGAAGGGAACGTGAGACTCGAGGAAGTGAGCACTTCATCAACATGTTAAATACAGTCCTGGCAGAAACGCAGTCGGTGCTCAGAGTCTGTAACATTCACCAGGGGCAGGGTGTAGACAATCTGGCTTACAACCACACCAACACACAATCATTCCATTGCCCTTTTACTCATTTCCTATCTATATTTGCTTTTCTTTATAAGTTCCTGTGTCACATTCATAAAGATAGCAAAGGTGCTTGGTAATATTAATACCCAAATCAGCATATTAACATCTAGTATGACATAACTGGAGCTGCTCGGGGTTAGACACAAAATAAAACTCCCTCTACTTTTAAACTGTCCCCATCAAACTCTCCCAGGCCAATTACAGCACAGGGTTGGATACAGAATATAGCCACAGGTACAGATATACACTGGCTCAGTGGTTAGCACTGTTGCCTCTCAGCACCAGGGACCTAGGTTCGATTCCACCCTTGGGTGACTGTCTGCGTGGAGTCTGCCCGTTCTCCCTGTGTCTGCGTAGGTTTCCTTCGGATGCTCCGGTTTCCTCCCACGGTCAAAAAATATGCAGATTATGTGGATTGGCCCCGGTTAATGTGGGATTACGGGGATAGGATGGGTGTGAGTGGGATGCTCTTTAGAGGGTCGGTGCACACAATGGGCCAAATAGCTTCTTTCTGCACTGTAGGGATTCTATGATTCTGAAGATCCCTCTGCTCTTTTAAACTGAAAATAAAACTGTCTCCACACTTTCCCATCAAATACTCCCAGGACAGGGACAGCATGGGGTTCAATACAAAGTAACGCTCTCTCTACGCTGTCCCCGATTAAACATTCCCAGGATAGGGACAACATGGGGTTCGATACAGAGTAAAGACCCCTCTACACTGTCCCCCATCAAACACTCCCAGGACAGGGACAGCACGGGATTAGATACAGAGTAAAACTTCCTCTACACATTTCCCCAATCAAACACTCCCAGGACAGGGACAGCATGGGGTTCGATACAGAGTAACGCTCCCTTTCCATATGATTCTCTAACCCTGTCCCAGTTGCTGATTTAGGCTATTTGATGATTTCTGACACATTTACAGACAGGGCCATGACCCTGTGGAACACTGTTACACATTTTAGTCAATCTTTTACCAACAACAGTTCCATTCCCCTTGTCCAGAATTGTAATCATTTTCTTTCATTCTGTAGCAGATAATTGGGCATAAAGTTACAAACAGTCAAATCTAATCTGGGTTTCAGATGATGCCTTGAGAGGTTTATTAACATCATCTGGATTCCACAGATTAGATTACAGCCTTGGAGTCACTCACTATACATTCTAACTTTATGGAATACACTATCTCCCCGGTGTCACAGAGTTCTCCCTTGTCAGCCTCTCTCTGCTGTTGCTGTTTGATTTTGGGGCATGTTGCTCACGAGACTCCTGGCTTGAGTCTTGGTCTGGGCTGATTGGGTCAAGCCCCTTAACGTTCGGTGTCCAGGATCTGCATGGGTCACAGACAGAATATAAACACTGAGTGAGAGGGCAGGGGCTGGACAAACACTGACGCCTTTAGGATTTGAAGAGAATCTGAATTTATTAAAAGCAGTGAAGAGTGCTGCTGGGTCAGTGAGAGTCAGATTCTAATGCAGCTGCCCAGGCAGACTCCCCATGTGTCGCTCACAGCCTCTAGGGGACAGATTAACCAGGGTGACACTATGGTGGGACAAGCTCTGTGACTTCCATTCCATTTATGGAGATGTTGTCCAGCATTTAAAACACTAAAGGGTCTTTACCACTAAATGTATAAACTACTTACTCTGGGGGGAGAATCCAGAATAAGAGCATATGGTCTTCAAATTAAAATGCTGCCATTTAGAAAGAAAATGAGGAAATATATCCTGTGATAAAGGGCAGTGCAAAACTGGAACCCTATTTCCCAAAAACTGTGAATATTGGGGGTCAGGGATCAGTAATATTTTCTTTTGAGGAAACGTGAAGGAACGTGGAGCAAAAGGAACTGCCTGAAGATCAGCTCTGCCTGATTGGCTAGCATGGTCTGCTCAAATGGCCTTTGTCTGTTTGTGTGTGATGGCATCTTATGGAGAGGGACTTTGTTTCTGCTCACACACACTGATGCTCTATCTCCCTGCCCAGATGGTCAAGAGGCTTTAAGAAATTGACAAAGCCAAGTTGGGAACAATAGCAAGTGCAGCAAAGTTTACCAAATTGATTCCTGGGATGGCAGGAATGACATATGAGGAGAGATTGAGTTGCTCAGGATTGGATTCACTGGAGTTTAGAAGAATAAAGGGGATCTCACAGAAACCTATAAAATTCTAGCAGCACTCAACAGGTTAGATACAGGAAGGATGTCCCCAATGGTGGGGGAGCCCAGAACCAAGGATCAATAGTTTAAGGATAAGGGTAAATCTTTTAGGACTGAGATGAGGAG